AATAGTTAAAAGGAAACAAAGAAAAGTACAAACAATATGATTCTCTAAGCCATTATGTGGAATTAAAATTGAATAATTCAATAACGAAACACGAATTAACTTGGGAAAACATCACAATCAATGCAAGAAATTTCTGAAACACAGGACATTGCCTAAAACCAATGATCAAAAAGAAATCAAAAGAGAATTCCAAAATATTTGAGATGAACGAAATAAAGAACATAACATAATCAAAATTTATGGTAAGCCAATATTAAGAGGAGAGTTTTTCTGGCTCCAAATACACTACACTTTCAAAAAAGAAAGATCTTAAAATATAACCTAATCTTCCACCCTTAAGGCGCTGGGGAAAAAAAAAAAAAAAAAGAGCAAACTCTAAACCTAAGCAAGCAAGAAGGAAACGTAAAGATTAGAGTGAACATTAATGAAATAGAGAATAGCAAAGCAATAGAGAAAAATCAACCGGAACAGAAAGCTGATTCTTTAAAGAGGGACAGAAAAAAAAAAAAAAGGAGGGGAGGGGACAGAGGGAAGGAAAATCATATTAATGTAATCGGAAATGAAAGAGGGAATATTACTATTAAGCTTACAGAAATAAAAAGGATCATAAAGGAATACTAGGAACAATTATATGTGACTAAATTAGACAACTTAAATATACAAATTCCTAGAATGACACAAAAAATGAAACTGGCTCAAGAAGAAATAGACAATCTAAATAGATGAAAATAGGTAATGAGATTCATTAGAAAAAGAAACTTCCCACAAAGAAAAGCCCAGGCCCAGATGACTTCACTGGTGAATTCTACCAAACACTTAAAGAAGAATTAATACCAATTCTTCACAAACACTTCAAAAAATCAGAAGAGGCTGGAACACTTCCCAACTCATTCTATGAGGCCCTGATGCAATAGCAGTCAAAGACATTGCAAGAAAACTATAGATCACTATTTCTTATAGATACAAAAATCCTCAACAAAATACTAGTAAATTGAATATTCTAACATGAAAATGACTATATACTATGGCCAAGTGGATTTTATCCCAGGAATGCAAGGGCGGTTTAACATCTGGAAATCACTTAGTATAATATACTATATTAATAGAGTAAAAACAAAAACTCACACAATCATCTCAATAGATACAGAGAAAAAAATCTGACAAAATCCAACAGCCATTCATGATAAAAACATTCAACAAACTAGGAATAGAAGGGAACTTTTTCAGCCTGATAAACAGTATCTTCAAAAAAACCTACAGACAGTATCAAACTTAATCGTTAAAGACTGGATGCAGCCGGGCGTGGTGGCTCACGCCTGTAATCCCAGCACTTTGGGAGGCTGAGGTGGGTGGATTACGAGGTCAGGAGATTGAGACTATCCTGGCTAACACAGTGAAACCCCTTCTCTACTAAAAATACAAAAAATTAGCTGGGCGTGGTGGTGGGTGCCTGTAATGCCAGCTACTTGGGAGGCTGAGGCAAGAGAATGGCATGAACCTGGGAGGTGGAGCTTGCAGTGAGCTGAGATCATGCCACTGCACTCAAGCCTGGATGACAGAGCGAGACTCCTTCTCAAAAAAAAAAAAGACTGGATGCTTTCTCCCTAAGATTAGGAATAAGGCAAGGATCCGCTCCCATCCCTTATGTTTGACATGAGACTAGAGGTTCTAGCCATGGCAATTAGGCAAGGAAAATAAGTTACAGGCATTCACAGATTGGAAAGGAAGGCTAAAACTACCTCTATTGCAGATGTCATGATCTTATATATAGAAAATCCTAAGGAATTCACTAAAAACACTGATAAAATTTGGATATTTGTCTCCTCCAAATCTCATGTTGAAATGTAATCCCCAGTGTTGAAGGTGGGACCTGGTGGGAGGTGCTTGGATCATTGGGGCATATCCCTCATGAATGGTTTAGTGACATCCCCTTGGTGATGAGTGAGTTCATGAGAGATCTGGTTTTTAACAGTGTGTGGCATCTCTCACCTCCCTCTCTTGCTCCTGCTCTCACCATGTGATGCGCCTACTACCCCTTCATCTTCCACCACGATTGTAAGCTTCCTGAACCCTTACCAGAAGCAGATGCCAGCATCACGCTTCCTGTACACCCTGCAGAACCATGAGCCAATTAAACTTTCTTTCTTTATAAATTACTCAGTCTCAGGTATTCGTTTATAGCAATGCCAGAATAACCCAATACAAAAACTATTGGAACTAATAAGTGGGTTTGGCAAGGTTGCAGGAGACAAGATCAGTATGCAAAAATTAATTGTATTTCTATACATTTGGAATGAACAATCCAAAAATGAAGTTAGGAAAATAATTCAATTTACAATAGCATCAAAAAGAAGAAAATTTTTCAGAAATATTTAACAAAAGAAGTGCAAAAGTTATATTCTGAAAACTATAAAACATTCTTGAAACAAATTAAAGACAACCTAAATAAATGGAAAATATCTCATGCTCAAGAATTGGAAGGCTTAATACTGTTAAGACGGCAACAGTCCTCACATTGATCTATAAATTCAATGCAGTCCCTATGAGGATCCCAGATGGCTTCTTGTAGAAATTGAAAAGCTGACTGTAAAATCCATATAGAATTGCAAGGGACACAGACTACCCAAAACAATCTTGATAAAGAAGACTAAAGTTGTAAGATTCACAATTCCCAATTTTAAAACTTGCTACAAAGCAGCAGTAATCAAGACAGTGTGGTACTGGCATAAAGACAGACAGCTAGATCAACGGAACAGAATTGGGAGTCCTGAAACAAACCCATGTGTCAACTGATTTCCATCAAGATGCCAAGACTACTCAATGGAGAAAGACTAGCCTTTTCAACAAATGATGCTGTGACAACTGGATATCTACATGCCAAAGAATGAAGTTGGACCCCTATACCATCCCATATACACAAATGAATTCAAAATGGATTAAAGACCTGGATGCAAGAGCTAGCACTATGAAACTCTTAGAAGAAATATAGGGGTAAATCTTCATGACCTCAGGCATTGGCTTCTTAAATATAACACGAAAAGCACAACCAACAAAAGAAAAATAGATAAATTCGATTTCGATTTCATCAAAATTGAAAACTGTTCATCAAAGGACAACATCAAAAAAGTGAAAAGACAACCCACAGAATGGGACATAGTACTTGCAAATCACATATCTGATAAAGGACTTATATCTAGAATATATAAATAACAGTTACAACTCAATAATAAAAAGACATATGACTCAATTTTTTAAATGGGCAAAAAATCTGAATAGACATTTCTTCAAAGAAGAATTATAAATTTTTGAAAAGATGTTCATGAAAAGATGTTCATCATTAATCATCAGGTAAATGCAAGTCAAAACCACAATGAGATATCACTTCTTACCCACTAAGATGGCTATAAGAAAAAAGATAATAACAAGTTTTGGCAAGGATATAGAGAAATCAGAATGCTCATATACTGCTTATGGGAATATAAAATGGTCCAGTCACTTTGGAAAACAGTATGACAGTTCCTCAAATAATTGAACATGAAGTTACCATATGACTCAGCAATTCCACTTCTAGGAAGAGAAATGAAAACCCATCCATATAAAAACTAGTTGCATTATTCATAAAAGCCAAAAGGTAGAAACAACCCAAATATACAAATTTGGTGAATAAAATGTAGTATATCCACATAATTAAATATTATTTGGCCATAAAAAAGGAATTAAGTACTGATACATGCTACAACGTGGATGAACACTGAAAACTGGCCATGTGTGGAGGCTCATGCCTGTAATCCCAACACTTTGGGAGGACAAGGTGGGTGGACTGCTTGAGCTCAGGAGCTCAAGACCAGCCTGGGCAACGTGGCAAAACCCTGTCTCTACTAAAAACACAAAAGCTAGCTGGATGTGGTGGTGTATACCTGTAGTCCTAACTACTTGGGAGGCTGAGGTGGGAAGATTGCTTGAGCCCAGGAGGTCAAGGCTGCAGTGAGCCATGATTGCACTACTGTACTCCCACCTGGGCAACAGAGCGAGACCCTGTGTCAAAACAACAACAAAACCCATTATGCTAAGTCAAAGAAGCCAGTCATAAAAGTCCACGTTTTATGATTCCATTTGTATGAAATGTCCAGAATAGGCAATTCTATATATAGAGACATAAAGTAGGTAAGCGGTGGCCTAGGGCTGGGGTGGGGACGGGTGATAATTGGGAGGATGGAGGAATAATAATAGCTAAAGGGTATGGCTTTTTAGTTTTTTGAGGTGATAAAAATGTCTGAAGGCTGTCTATGATAAATGGTTGCATAACTCTTTGAATATACTAAAAACAACTGAATTGTATACTTTGAATAGGCAATTTGTATGTGAATCATAACTCAATTAAGCTGTTATTAAAAAAAGCACCATTACTGAGAAAGATATGTTAAATCTTCTACTGTGATTGTAGATGGTCTATTTTCCTTGTTGTTCTGTCCAGTTTCGCTTTATATATTTTGAATCTATGGTATTAGGTACATACAGACTTAAAATTGTAGTATCTTATTGGTACTGAGCCATTTTAAGTACAATATGATCTCTGTCTTTAATAGTGCTTTTCTTATTGTAATGTCTGCAGTGTATTTATACCAGCTTTCTTTGTTATTCCAAAACAGTAAAAAGGAAAAAGAAACATTTTTATATATACACATTTGTGTACATGAGCAAATATAGCAATAGATTAAATGCCTTAAAATGCAATTCCTGGGTAAAAGGATATGTGGGATTTAAATCTGAGACAACGCCAATGTGTCCTCCAAAGTTACTGGAGTAATCACAGTCCCACTGAGTCTATCAGCATGCTTCTATGTGAACATCTTAAAATTAGAATTTTGTTTTGCTCTGTGTGAAGGGGATGCATGAGTTTATGCTAACTTATTTGGATTAAAATTTGCCCACATGGTGACCAGTCCCCCAGCCAGGCACACGGGTCCTGGTCTGGAAGGACCATTGCTGGGAAGACTCACCTTGCTGATTTCTGTCAGGGACATGGTGATGCTGTAGAGTTGGTTCTTACTGGTGCTGGCAACCAGAGTTTCCTCTGAGGGGCTGAAGCATAGGCAGAGAACGTCCTGTTTGTCAGACTGACTTGGATCATTGCTCTGCGGGTCCACAGGAATCTGCTCAAGATGCAAAACAGCTATCAGTAATGTCCCCCGGTTGTCAGTGGGCCTTAGGCTTTCAGAGTTTTCTTGGATGACTTTAGCTTACAGACTCCCAGACCAGGCTGCTTCCTGGGATCCCCCTATTCTTTGTTTGTTTTTTTTGAGAGAGGGTCTGGCTCTGTCACCCAGACTGGAATACAGTGGCTTGATCTTGGCTCAATGCAACTTCCACCTGCCAGGCTCAAACCATCCTCTCACCTCAGCCTCCCAAGTAACTGGGACTACAGGTGCACACCACCACACCTGGCAAATTTTTTTTTTTTTCTTTTTTTTTGAGACAGAGTCTTGCTCTGTCGCCCAGGCTGGAGAGCAGTGGTATAATCTTGGCTCTCTGCAACCTCTGCTGCCTGGATTCAAGCAATTCTAGCTGGAATTACAGACACATGCCACCATGCCTGTTTACTTTTTTTTTTTTTTTTTGAGAGCGAGTTTCAATCTGTCACCCAGGCTAGAGTGCAGTGGCATGATCCTGGCTCACTGCAACCTCTGCCTCCCAGGTTCAAGCTATTCTCTTGCCTCAGCCTCCCAAGTAGCTGGGACAACAGGCACACACTGCCACGCCTGGCTAATTTTTGTATTTTTAGCACAGATAGGGTTTCACCATGTTGTCCAGGCTGGTCTCAAACTCCCGACCTCATAATTTTTTTTTTTTTTTTGTAGAGATGGAGTTTCACCATGTTGCCCAGGCTGTTCTAGAACTCCTGAGTTCAAGAGACCCACCCGCCTTGGCCTCCCAAAGTGCTGGGATTATAGGCATAAGCCACTATGCTGGTCGATTTTCCTATTTTTAAACTAACTCTGTTCACCTCATCCTAAAACCTCTCTCAGGACAGATATCTCAAGTCACCATTTCACCATTTCTGCTCAGCAATCCTGCCCTATCCCTCCCCATCAGATGCCTTCTCAGAAAACTGCTGCTGGGGAACAAATGCCAATAGGACCCCTGTTTTGCTGCTTTCTTCTTCCCTCCTTACCCTGATTTCTCTGCTCTCACGGTAAAAATCCTTTTCTTCCATCTTCTCAAACAGCAGAACTCTCCCTGGCCCAGCAGAACAGGCAAATCCCTTTGAATAGGCTGCAATGGCAAACACCTGGGGCATGGACAGCTGGCTGTGGCTACTGGTCGCCACCATCTGTTCATAGGAAGGGAGTGGAGAACTGATTGGTGGAAATTCGATCAGGCTGGAAACAAAAAAACAGCATATACAATTTACAGAGACAATCTTGAGGAGATGGAATTCTGCTGGGGAGGAGAAAGAAGGCTGTCATTGGGTGTGACAGAAACCACCCAATGATCCCCTTTTCCATAGCCAAATACTGCCCTTTGGCTTGGGAACTGTACACAAACTGCACATGGCCAAGCCCAGAAGCAAGCGTGTACTCGGGGCGTGTGGAGTAGACAGAGGCAAGGGTTGTAGAGGAAGAGAGCCGCAGGTATGCTTGGGCCAAGCCAACGAGTCTGGGCTTTTTTCTGGGAGGCCTGGACCCCAGAGCTTAAGGACTGTGAACGCAGCCCCTGGAGAAGGTTATGGGGACTTTTTAGGAAGCTCCTAATTACAAAAAAAAAAAAGAAAAAAAAGAAAAAAAGAGGATATGCCATTGGCATGGGGGGATGGTAGTGAAAATGGGTGGATTGAAGGTTATTGAGGAAGAAGAATCTACAGGATGTCATTGGGGTTGAGGGCCCAGGTTCTGGCATCCGAGAGATCTGGGTTTGAATCCTGAGCCTGCCACTTCTCAGAGCAATGATCTTGGATAGGCCACTTACCTCTTTGATCCTCAGTTTCCTTGTCTACGAAATGGGCATGATAATAGTATGAACTATATAGGGTAAGAATCAAATGGAAATATTTATGAAGTGTTTAAAGCAATGTCTGGTGCATGCAATGGTACATTCCAATCCACAGGAGATATGATTTTTACTGGTTGTCACAGCGGTAATGTGGCATCTCTCTTACCATGGTCAATAACCACTCCTTCCTGAGACTGCACTTTACCCCATCCTCTGTCAGATTTACCTAAAACATTTCCTTGCATTTGTTGGTCTGTCGCCTCCTGCTGAATTATAAGTTCCGTGAGGACTTGTGTCCCCAGCATCTAGCAAGAGATGCCTTTTGTATACTGCAAGGGCTTGGTGGACATGAATCAACTCATTAAATTAGTCACTGTAAAATATGTTTCTAAAACTATAGTTTTGAAGACCAGCCATATTATAATGCTTATAAAATGAGGTTAGGTATAAAAAATAAAAAGAATTGTAGCTAGCCTATGGTTATAACTGTTAAATTTGTGCTTAAATATAGATGAAAACTCTTTGAGAGGAAGAGGGAAAATGGGCATAGTTGACTTTTATGGCAGAGGGGTTATGAGTGGTTTCTAAAGAGTGCTGTCTTCTGTATAACGCTGTTAGTACAGTGAATGTGGGAGTGCCAGCCCAGGAAGCACCATTACCTCTCTGATTCCTGGATGACATCCAGGCTCTTTGAGTCATGGGTGGGTTCTTTGACCATTATGCTGGTCTCCCAACGCTGATCTCCAGATTCAAAGAGGAAGAGTTTGCCTGTGTCAGTGCCAACAATAATCTTGTCATCAGCCACCCAGGTGTGGGCTAGATAGTTTTGGGGTTCTCCCCTCTGAAAATTGGTTTGCTTCAGGGTTCCCTCAGTGAAACGGAGAAGCTTAAACATCCCATTTCCAGTGACACACACCTGAGTGTTATCCTGTGGACTGAAGCTCACCTGTAAAATGTGAGAGAATTGAAGAAAAAAATTTATGAAACTAATCTTGATGGAATTATTTCCCATTTTACAAGTTAATATTTATTTCAGGCTGCTCAGAATATCTCCTAAACATCACAAAATCATGTAATTTTATGCTGCATTTGATAAGGGGACACATCTATAATCCATTATATTTATCCATTATATTTATAGGGATATGAGTCAAACTAGGAGTCAAACTAGGAAATCTACAAAGGCCAAAGAGCAGAATGAGCAGCTTTTGACAAGAGCCACACCCAGTGCCGACAAAATGGAATAAAGCTCAGCTGGAAATACAGAAAAAGAGGGTCTGATAGGTTTACATAGCCCTGTCCAGGAGGAAAGAAATCACGTGTCAGGGGATGCTATGTGGTCTCCTACCAACTGAACATCCTTCAACCACAGCTCTTAGCCCAATATACACCTGCTCCTCTAGTTACAATGGGATCATGTCCTGATAAACCCATCATAAGCTGAAAATGGGCAAAGCCACGTGGCCACACAGTGCCACACTGTAGAGTACCTTGGTTGTTACCTTCGTGATTGAGTGGCTGACTGGGGGCTGTGGCTGCAGCTGCTGCCCAGCATCATGAAAGTATATCACTTGGCCTCTTTCTCCAGAGTGCATGTCACTCTTGTACCATTGTAAAGATGAAAATTTTAAGTTTAACCATAGTAAGTTGGGGACTACCTGTACAGTAATAGGCAGTCAACCTGCTGTCCTGGCTAGACAGTGAGCAACTTGAAGGGCTGTGACTTTTTCATCTCTGTTTTCCCAGTGCTGGATTCATCATGGGCATCCAATAAATGGTTGCTGAATCTACTTAGTCAGAGCAGGAGGTGCTTCATCAGGCCTCACTGTGGCCTGGTTGAAATCCTCTTCTGGTTCTACCTGCCTTTGGCCTGATTCTGGAATAATCACTCAGCAGCTTTCTGATTACTATTATAATTTCACCTCGCAACTTCTCTACTACTAGGAAGAGAATACACTGGATAAATAATGTGAGTGTTCTGGTTGCAATATGCTGGTTTACACATCAACATCTTGTGGGCTGAATAACTGAGTCTATGCCGGAGACACTGATTAGTTAGAATCCCTGAACATGAACAGAACTGAGTCATGGAACTTGTGGAATTGAGTGCTAGATCCCAGACTAGGGTGAGTGAACCAATATCAAACCTCCTTGGGACCCCTTGCCTAAGCCATCAATCAGGTTCCTGAGGGGTCTTCTTCCTTTTGCCCTCAAGACACAATAGAAGGTTCTGCTCCTTACATAACTGCAACTTCAGCAACAGCTTCCTAAAGACCTACCACTTTACATCACATTTTGGAAATCTTCCTACTACCCGGCAATGCTGCTGGAAAAAGAGGCTAGGACCAGGGAGAGAAAGCAAGTTTTATTAATCCACTTCTGGGCCAAACCTGTGACCAGAAAGCAGTTCTGGGCCAAAGTAAAGAAGATAGGAGTTGGAGTTGGGGAACTCCTAGCTCTGCTACTCACTACCTCTGTGATCTTGGGTGAGTTACCTAACCTCTTGGAGCCTCAGCTCTCTCATCTGTAAAATGGGGATAATGACTGTGCATACCTTATATGGTTGTTGTAAGACTAAATATAAAAATGCATGGAGGAAATCAGAACTGTGGCACACAGCACTCAATAAAAAGTAGTTCTATTTTTTATAATTTTCACGATACTTGTCACACTACTAGGTACCTGGTAGACAGGGTTGTTCTGAGTGTCGATTCTAACAATGGCCATTACTTTCTGTTTTTCCCACAGCCAATAGACAAGATTTGACTCTGGAGGTGATGTCTGAGCCAACAGGTATTTGGAGTCTGGAGAAAAAGCCATGCTAATAAATTTCTGAACTTGGAAGTCAAAATTATTAAGAACTTTGCGCTTCCGGCAAGGGATGGATGACAATTCATAAATGGTGATGGCAGGTTTTTCTTGCACAGTCTCAGAGATAGCGAGATACCGCCGATTGGGACTGATGGACAAGGCCAACATGCCCTGACTCTTGTCTGAGCCTGCAAACAGAGGAAAAAGGAAATAATCAGGGTAGATCACACTTTCACCAGGATTCAACAGGAACCAGGCACAGTAGTGGGCATTGGAGTGGACAGAAAGAATAAAGGCAGCCTTGGCATAGCTGTGTTTGGCCATTATGAAAATGACTAGGGGCCAGGCATGGTGGCTCACGCCTGTAATCCTGGCACTTCAGGGGGCCGAGGCAGGCAGATGACTTGAGATGGGGAGTTCGAGACCAGCCTACCCAACATGGTGAAACCCTGTCTCTACTAAAAATAAAAAAATTAGCCGGGTGTGGTGGCAGGTACCTGTAATCCCAGCTACTCAGGAAGCTGAGGCAGGAGAATTGCTTGAACCTGGGAGGCGGAGACGGCAGTGAGCTGAGAGCGTGCCACTGCACTCCAGCCTGGGAGACAGAGGGAGACTCTGTCCCCAAAAGAAACTGACCAGGGCAGGCACCTCTGAGGATGAGGTGGGAGGAGAAGTCAGAGAAAGCTTCCTAAAGGAGGGCAGGGGGCGAGGTGAGATGGGGGCGGGGTGGCAGGTGGCAGTAAGAGCTTGAGCCAAGGGGTGGATGTGACAAAGGGTACGGCATAGTGCGAGAACTGCAAGCAGTGGGTTTGCTGGGGCACTGCATGTGAGATGGGGTGACCAAAGATGGGCCTAAAGGGGTGGAATTGGGTCAGACCATAGAGGCCTTTATTCCCTGAGTGGCTGGCTCATCACTCCTCCTCTCCTCCAGAGGCTAGGATGCCAACTACTGGATTCCTCAGCCTCCCTTGCAGTTAGCTGACGTGTGTGACATTCTGGACACGAGGTGGAGGCAGAAGTCTTCTAGAGTGGCTTTATGATAAAGCTGGTGCTTCCTTAAAAACCAGACAGATGCATTCTATCCCCTTTTTCCTGAAATCTAGAGGTGATATCTGGAGATAGAGCTCTCATCTCACAACCATGAGGTAATAAGAATGAAAATGAAGGCTGTGATCCTCTAGAAAACAGAGCCTCAGGCAAAGATTAAAGTGTAAATACTTTATTTGGGAAATGCAATCAGGGTCACATTACGGTTTTTGAGGGCTCTAGGTACTTTTGATTTCACGGCCCCCTCCTTCATTAAAAAATGTTTAAAAATATATTTACAGGCCGGGCGTGGTGGCTTACGCCTGTAATCCCAGCACTCTGGGAGGCCGAGGTGGGCATATCACCTGAAGTTGGGAGCTCGAAACCAGCCTAACCAACACAGAGAAACCCTGTCTCTACTAAAAAATACAAAATTAGCTGGGCATGGTGGCCCATGCCTGTAATCCCAGCTACTCAGGAGGCTGAAGCAGGAGAATCACTTGAACCTGGGAGGTGGAGGTTGTGGTGAGCCGAAATTGAGCTATTGCACTCCAGCTTGGGCAACAAAAGCGAAACTCTGTCTCAAACACACACACACACACACACACACACACACACACACATATATATATACACGGTGTGGTGGCTTGTATCTGTAATCCCAGCTACTTGGGAGGCTGAGGTGGGAGGATGGGTTGAGTCCAGGAGTTCAATACCAGCCTGGGCAACATAGCCAGACCCCATCTACATAAAAAAAATTAGCTGGTCAAGGTGGTGCATGCCTGTATTCCCAGTTATTCAGGAGGTTAAGGTGGGGAGGATGGCCTGAACCCAGGAGTTTGAGACTGCTGTGAGCTATGATTGTGCCAGTGCACTCTAGCCTGGGCAACAGAGTGAGACCTGGTTTCTTAAAAAAAGGAAAAGAAAAGAAAAGAAAAGAAAAAAACTGTGGAGGATGGAGTTGAGACGGTTTGGAGTTCCAGAAGGAGATAACAGAACAAAAAAGATACCTGTCCTTAGATCCAGGAATCTCAAAGAATCCCTAAGAGGATAAAAAATGAAAATAAAAACTATACTGTATGTCTGTGTGTATCTATGTGTGTGTGTATATATATATACACACACGTATACATATATATGTATATATATACATCATATATACATGTACATATATGTATATGGTGTGTGTATATATGGTGCATATTTTATACATATATATGTATATATATACATCATATATACATGTACATATATGTATATGGTGTGTGTATATATGGTGCATATTTTATACATATATATGTATATAGTGTATGTGTATAGATATATATACACACACACACACACCATAGACAGACATTAAACATCCAGAAAAAAAGATCATCTACAGAAAGACGATGCTGATAGCTAATTTCTTAAGCACAGCAACAAAACAGAAGCCAAAAAAACACAATGGAATACGATTTATAATGTGTTGATAAAAATTGCATACCTGTTGAAACTATCTTTCAGAAGTGAGGATAAAATAAAGTCATTTTCAGACAAAAACTGGGAGAGTTTATTAACACATTATCAGTAAATGCAGAAGGAAAATGATCCCACCTGGAATATCTGATTTGTAAAGAGTGACGGTGGGCAAAGAGTTTGGTAAGTATGACAGCAAATATAAATTAATGTTGTCTGTATAAAACCATAATTTAATTAATATTGGAAAGTCATACGATCTTTTTTATTTCTGTTTTTGAGACAGGGTCTTGCTTGGTTGCCCAGGCTGGAGTACAGTGGCATGATCTCGGCTCCCTGCAACCTCTGCCTACCAGGTTCAAGCAATTCTCCTGCTTCAGCCTCTCAAGTAGCTGGGACTACAGGCACGTGCCACCACGCCCAGCTGATTTTTGTATTTTTAGTAGAGATGGGGTTTCACTATATTGGCCAGGATGGTCTCGATCTCTTGACCTCATGATCTGCCCACCTCAGCCTCCTAAAGTGCTGGAATTACAGGCGTGAGCAACTGCGCCCGGCCAGATGTCCATTTTTATCACCCTTATTCAACACTGTCTGGAGGTGCTTACCAGCACAGGTAGCACAAGAAAAAGGAAGAAAACCATTGTTATTTGTAGATAATATGATAGTCTGTATAGAAATCCCTGCATAATCTGTAGACAAATCATTAGAATTAATAATAATTTAGCAAATACGCTGGAAATAAACATTAATAAATAAAAGTCAACTGTATTTAATACAGTTTATTCCAACAGAATATCATGTGGTTGATAAATCTGACTTTATTAAAACTAATAATTTTTGTCCATCAAAAGATACTGTAAGGTAGGAGAAAAATGCCCCAAACTGGAAGAAATTATTTGCAAGACATATATGTATCTGACAAATTATTGGTATACAGAATAGATAAATTGTGCATGTAAATCAATACAATTGCCAAAAATTTCCTGCACAACGAACTATAAAAAACAAGTAAAAGACTTGAACAAGGCATTTAACATACGACTAAATAGGAATAACCCATAAACATGTAAACAGATACTCATCATCATTAATGATAGCGAAATGCAAACGAAAACCACAATTCCTTTTCTCAACTACTGGATTAGCAAAAAATTAGGAAGTTGGACAATACTAAGGGTTGGCAGGGTTGTTGAGGAATGAGAACTCTTCTGCACTCCTGGTGGGAGTGTAAATTGGTACTATCGTATTACTCAGTAAGTTTAGTCCTGGCCGTGTGTCCTCGAGAATCTGCACAAATAGACGAATGTATACGCATGCAAGAATGTTTATAGTAGTATAGTTTGTGATAGCATATGATTGTTATTTCCCAAATGTCCCTAACCACTAGAGTGAATACATATATTTGAGACATTATATTCATATGATGGAACACTACATAGCAATACAATGAACTTGGTTATATGTATCAAGATGCATGAATCTCAAAAGCATGATGTTGAACTGATGCAGCAGGACACAGAATACAGGGAGAAGCCCTAGAACTGGTAATATTCTATTTCCTATGCTGGTGGCTGGGTTCACAGATCTACATTCTATTGTAATTCTTTAAATATTACATATACGTAGGGTACATTCTTTCGTGTGTATATAATAATAAAAGGTATCAATGCAACAAAAAATGGGAAAATGGATTCAGTTGTTGAAATCATGAATATCATCAACAGGACCACCGTGAACAAAAATAAGGGCTGTAATGTTATACAAATGGTTATTTGCAACTTGGGATAAAGTTTACAGTGTCTTCATCATACATGGATTCAAAAGGTGATGTAATGAAGGTGGTGTGCTCAGGAAAACTGTGTCAGAAAACTCAAAAAGGGGCTCTGGTAATGACAAAGGCAATGATATTGAAGATACCAAAAAAGGGATTCTTAACATATTTTCCTGAAATTACAGTGAAAAAAGTACTTTTAAATTAACATTTTATATGTGATTTTAACTACGTATGCGTGACTGATTAATCTAGTTTCATAATACAAGTCGCCATTTATTTCCTCTACCTTTATAATACTGCATATATATTCAAATTGGCCAAAATCTTTCTTTCCAATCATCATGCTGGGATTATCGGGTTATATGTGGCACATACCATTCCTGTATATGTCAGGATGGAAAGGGTTTTTACCTGGAATGAATTTTTGCCATTTCTGATCCACATTGTACTTCACACAGTGATTTCCTGAAGGAAATATAATGATCTGTTCATCGAAGTAGAAGATATTGTTGGCCACGTGGGATCGAAGACCAAAAACATGCAGCGTCTGAGCTACCACGGCCGACATGATCTCCCGCCAAAGAGTTCTGCTGAACCACCAAGGCAGCGCTTCAGAGTGGAGAGCGTTGCCCCGCTCCGCCCCGACCCCGCCCCCGGCCCAGACACGCCCCGCCCAGCATCCAGGACATGCCCTCCCCGCCCCTTGCCCCTCCCCTTTCTCCCTCCCCTGGGGTCCTCCTGGGCGCCACCCCATGCCCGCGGCTCCTTTTTCTGCCTTTTCCTTTGTACCCTCACTGCTACCAGCTCCTTCTGGCGACCCCCAGGTACCCTCTCCCACCTTTCACTTCTCTCTGGGTCAGCAGACCACGCATGTATCCACAGGCACTACCTGTGCGGATCCTAAGCAACCCGGGCACTTTCAAACGCCGTAGCGGTTCCTATAGCAACGACAAACCGGAAGTATGGTTTGCCGCCGGAAGCGGAAGTCCCAATCAAAAGTTGAGCAGTAGCTGTGAGTTGCTCGCCGTGGTGCGACTCGGTGGCACGTGGAGCCACGGCCTGGGAGTAGGGGGCTGAAGGCAGGCAGCGGCGGCCAGGGCCACCCTCTGCTAACTGCTTGGGTCTCGGGATACCCCGCTTCTTCCTGTAGGTGTGGGACGTCCGTGCGGCGAGATGGACACTCCTCCGCTCTCGGATTCGGAGTCGGAATCCGATGAATCTCTTGTCACAGATAGAGAGGTAAGTGTCAGCCGAGCTCGCGGGGCTGGTCGTGGGAGAGGGGGTCTTACACCCCTGGGAGTGACCGTGATTGTGTCCTGCAGTTGCAGGATGCGTTTTCCCGAGGGCTTCTGAAGCCAGGCCTCAATGTCGTGCTAGAGGGGCCGAAGAAGGCCGTGAACGACGTGGTGAGCGCGGGCACAGGGTCGGGGGTACTCGGACTTGGGATGCGCACCAGCCGCTGTTGGGCTTGGGAGACCGATTTTTGTCCCAGGAAAAGATGCACCCTGAGCCTTGCCAAGAGGGTCTATTACCTGTCTGCGTATTGGGGATTAGCGCTTTGTCCCTTCGCCTAACAGCCTGTGCTTGGGAAGAACAAACTCAGAGTCCCCTTCTTATGAGCTCAGTGTCTGGATTTCCTAGAATGGCCTGAAGCAATGTTTGGCAGAATTCAAGCGGGATCTGGAATGGGTTGAAAGACTCGATGTGACGCTGGGTCCGGTGCCGGAAATCGGTGGATCTGAGGCGCCAACACCTCAGATCAAGGACCAGAAAGCTGTTGATCCAGAAGACGACTTCCAGCGAGAGATGAGTTTGTATGTTTTCAAATGTTGGAGAAGTTGAGGATCCTTGTGCAGGAGAGTGGCAAAGAGGGGAAATTAGTAAGCCTGCACTCAGAATAAGCTTAGGAGTAGGGAGAGCGGCTTCTTTTGACTAAGAATAGCTAGGAGATTCTCGCTGTTTGAGAGGAGAGCTCCTTGGTCCACAGTCACGATTCAAAGTCCAGTTTATGGACTAATTTGAAATATTCATGTTAAAGCTTTTTGTGCATGCTTCAGTTAAAAAAAAAATGCTTATGGGATGTTCTTGTGTGGAATTGCTTTAGTAATTACGTAAGAATCCATAATCGACATTAGTTTGTGTTAATGGGTACCTTTAGAGTAGTCATTCTCTTAAACTATTTTTAGCAATGCCCCTCCCCTTTTTAAAAACTGGTATATGTCTACATTTCTTTTAGATACTAAATCAGTGAGGTTTGGTGACAGTTTTTATTTGTTTGTTGTTGTTAATGGAGGTCTGATTTTGAGAGTCCTTCTGAGCTTGGATAACTCATGAGAGGCAGTGAAAAGGAACGTAAGGCCTCTCTCCTTCACCTCATTACACATTTTGTCCCACAATTCTCAGCTACCGCCAAGCCCAGGCCGCAGTGCTTGCAGTCTTACCCCGCCTCCATCAGCTCAAAGTCCCTACCAAGCGACCCACTGATTATTTTGCAGAAATGGCCAAGTCTGATCTGCAGATGCAGAAGGTAAGAAATAGAAGTTTTCCTCTGGAAAGCCAAAACTTTGTACTTAAGCATATTCAGCTGGCTTAGAAAGATAGCTGTGAGCCCAATAATGGGGAGCCAGTTGTCAGAGGACAATTATTACCTCTTCCATAGATTGACTACTTCAGAGTCATGCCAGTTACCACCAATTAGATGCATATGACATTTTTTCTAAAATCAGCAATTAAGGAGAGGAACAGTGCTGTGAGAAGTGTGGTCCTTGAGGTAAAGATGGCCCATTGCATTTCCTAGCTGGCTTGGTCATGGCATGGTGTGCAGAGAAGACAGCATTCTTGTGCCCTTGCCACTGGTAGTGCTAGAACTTGCAGACAATTACTTTTCTCTGGGCCTCAGTTTTCTCCTCTATAAAATGAGGGATTCTTAGATGGTTCAGATGCAGTACAATTTAGAATTGGGTAGAACTTGGACCTCACTTAACTCTGAAGGAGGGGATTGCCAAGATATACTCAGCCAAGATATACTCAGCCCTCCATAGCCATGGGTTCAGCATCTGTGGATTCAGCCAACCTCGGATCAAAAATATTTGAGAAAAAAATTTGAAAATGTTGGAAAAAGAAAACTTGAATTTGCCATGTGCTGAGAACATTGAATCTGTGAGAATGACATGATGCGTAGCATTGAATTCAGTATTATAAGTAATCTAGAGACTATTTAAAGCAGTGGTCTGGCACCAGGGACCGGTTTCGTGGATGACAATTTTTTCATGAACTGGGGGAGGGGATAGTTCCAGGATGAAACTCTTCTACCTCAGATCATCAGGCATTAGATTCTCATAAGGAGCACACAACCTAAATCCTTTGCATGCTTAGTTCACAGTAGAGTTCGGGCTCCTATGAGAATTTAATGCAGCCGCTGATCTGACAGGAGGTGGAGCTCAGGTGGTAACGCTCGCTTGCCTGCCACTCACTTCCTGCTGTGTGGCCTGGTTCCTAACAGGCCACAGATTCATAGCAGGTTCATGGCAGTCTGTGGCCCAGGAGTTGAGGTCCCCTGACTTTAAAGTATACTGGAGGCGAGTGTAGGTTATATGCAAACGCTACACCATTTTTATATAAGGGACTTGAGCATCTGTGGATTTTGATGTCTGTAGTGGGTCCTAGAATTATCTTCTATGGATACTGAGGGATGAGTATATTTAAATAATACCCTGGGGTCTCAAACTGGATTTTAGGGAGCTTTTGTCATGGTAGTAGTTCACCTTCTCACTGTGAACTCTGTACAAGTTCTCACTGACAACTTCTCGTCCTTTAACTAAAATTGTGTATGTTTGACTGAAAAGGCTAGGCACCTGATATCTGCGTGGATTTTTATTGTGTGTGTGGTATACTAGAAAAGGACACTGAGGCCGCATACTGGTTTCCAGCCTCAGTCTACTGACGGTAGAAATGGGGAGAAGTTTGTCTTCTTTCCTGGGCTTCAGATAGGCAGTTTGTAAAATGAAACAGACAGCACACTGGGAGTGGGAAGGTGACTTTCAATCTCTGGCTTCACTCTGACACTTTTGGTAAAGTGCTCAGCCTGTGGGCCCCATTGTCCTCAGGGATTGGAATTGATGATTTACAAGTTCCACAGTTTAAAGAACAGGGAATATCTGTTCCCTGCTCTAGTGCATCCTAAGTAGTGGTCGTTCTAGATTCAAATAACAAACTGACAGCATTTTGTGTTGTAGATTCGACAGAAGCTGCAGACTAAACAGGCTGCCATGGAGAGGTCTGAAAAGGCTAAACAACTGCGAGCACTTAGGAAATACGGGAAGAAGGTGAGAAGGAAAGTGTGCAGGGAACAGGAAGAGGCGGGGTGTGTGTGTTAGATGAGATTGCCGTGGTCTGACGTGGTCCCCTGAACTGAATGGAGCTGTGTGTTGATCGTGTGTTTACCGTCTCTCAGTGTATGTGCTGGTATTCATGAGCACAGTCTTGCCTGGACATGAATGCTTCCCCAGGAGTAGTATAGTGACTGCAGGCGAGCCAGTCACCTCTCGGGTCTTGAGTTTTCATATCTATACACTGGGTCCAGATGTGTGGTTTCCAAACCTGACCTCACAGCAAAATCACCAGGGGAAGTTTTTCAAAACAGAATTCTAGACTTCAGAATCCCTGGGAATCTGTGTCTGTTTTCCCCGTTCCCCAAAAGCTTTCCAGGTGATTCTGAAATGCATCCTGGTTTGGGATTCACTGGCCTATGTGATAATCATGTCCCTGAAGAAATTATCCTAATGATTGTCGTCCAATCTGAAAGATTGCCTGTGTGTTTGAACTGTGAATGTCTGAGTTCTAATGTAACACCAGATCAGGCATACCCTGAAACTTTTCTTGGTTTTCCTTTTTTATTTTATGGTCGTCTAAGAAAGAAGATGACGAGTTTTAAAGTTAGGATTGTGGAAAAACATGAATGTGAGGAAGATTGGCGTGGATGTTAAGACTTTGTCAACATTTGGACAGAAGCAGTTGTGATCTGGGTTGCAGGACCCTTGTCCACATTTGGGGTCGTTTCACTGATACATTCTCAGCAGAGTAAGAATAGGCTGGGATCCTGGCCTCTACAAAAGGCCTGCTGCAGATTTATTATTTCTTTGATCTGGAGGTGGATGGTTGAGATTCTCTCAAAGACACCAATAAGTAATTCAACATAACCAAAATTACCAAAAGCAAAGACAAACTCACTTGGGCCTTTAGTTCACTGTTCCTAATTTAAGGAAACATTGGGGAAGAGGTTGTCAACTGGGGTGAATTTGCTTCCCAGGAGTTTTCTATGACTGCCTGGTGATATTTTTAGTTGTCAAATTTGGGAGGGAGGGTACTACTGGCATCCAGTAGGTAGAGGGCAGGGGTGCTGCTAAATATCCTACAGTGCAGGACAGGCCCCTACGCCCCAGCAAAGAATTATTCTCTCCACACTGTAGCAGTATCAAGATTGAGAAACTCTCTGTTAGAGTATTACAAAATGTCTCCTTTTATCCTTCAAACTTTTTTCTTTTCTTTTCCTGGGGACATTGTTTTTTTTCTCTTCCTTTTGATTACTTTCATGCCTAGTAACAATGAGTTAAATAATCTGTCCAAATGTGATGTGAAAATTGATGTAGTCTTAAACA